TTATTTTCGCCCTGAAACCAGTCTCTAGTTGTGAATTGCATTGTAGTTCGTACCCTTGAAATTGGTCCTACTTGAAAAAACATTTTTTAATTTGATGCATTCTCATGTAGCATGAGTTATTCTAACCACTGCTTAAATATACCAAGGCACTGGTCATTTATTGGATTAGTGGAGATAAAAAGCATTGTGCCCTACATGTCTTTTTTGTAATTTTTTTTTTTACCAAATGTATTTTTTGTAATTTAATTGTTGTATTTTGCAGAATAAATTAACGACAAAAATGAACAGGTGATGGTTCAATAGAGAAGAATAGAAGGCATAAATCCTCATATACCGTATTTTGACGTATATAGGATATCTGCGCTTCAAGTAAATCACGTAATAAGTAAAAATAAAAGTCTCAACAAAAGTCCCATATCGATCAAATAAGTAAGGCAATAGGAGATTCAGGGTTATAAAAGAAAAGGAATGACATGGGATACAAACCACACAACCATACTTAAATGGTTCATCCAAATTGCTTGAACTAGTTGAATATGGAGACTAATTTTGGTCAATCAACTAAATACCAAATATGATTAGAGACTTTTATCTTCCTTATAATATTTGGTATTGAGTTGACTTGATTAAAATTTTATGTTTCCAATTAAAAAAAAACAACAAATACATGAGGAAGAGGCCTTTGTATGCTATGCTTTTAATTTATGCGTTTCCATACAACATGACTTGTTCTAACCACTGTTTAAATATGGCAAGGTATAGGTCATTTATTGGATTATTAGTAGTGATTAACAAGCATTGTGCCTTATATGTCCTTTTTGGCAATCTAATTTTTGTTTTGCAAAATAAATTAGTGACCGAAGTGAACAGGTGAGGGGTGGATAGAGAGAAATAGAAGGCATAAATCCTAACATACTATATTTTGACATATATAGGATATATGCTCTTTACGTAAATCACATAATAAGTAAAAACAAAAGTCCCATATCAATCAAATAAGTATGGCAAAAGGAGAGTCGAGGTTCTAAAAGAGAAGAGATGACATGGGATAGAAACCACACAACCATACTTAAATGGTTCATCCAAATTGCTTGAACTAGTTGAATATGGAGACTAATTTTGGTCAATCAACTGAATACCAAGTATTATTAGAGGCTTTTGTCTTCCTCATAATATTTGGTATTAAGTTGATTTGATTAAAATTTTGTTTCCAATAATTAAAAAAAAAACGACAAATACATGAGGAAGAGGCCTCTGTGGACTATGCTTTTAATTTATGCGTTTCCATATAACATGACTTGTTCTAACCACTGCTTAAATATGCCAAGGTATAGGTTATTTATTGAATTATTAGTAGTGATTAACAAGCACTGTGCCTTATATGTCCTTTTTGGTAATTTAATTTTTGTTTTGCAAAATAACTTAGCAACCGAGGTGAACAAGTGAGGGATGGATAGAGAGGAATATGAGGCATAAATCGTCACATACCATATTTTGGGATATCTACTCTATAGGTACATCACATAATAAATAAAAACAAAAGTCCCATATCGATCAAATAAGTATGACAAAAGGAGAGTCGATATTATAAAAGAGAAGGGATGGCATGGGATACAAACCACACAACCATACTTAAATGGTTTATCCAAATTGGTTGAACTAGTTGAATATGGAGACTAATTTTGGTCAATCAACTGAATACCAAATATTATTAGAGGCTTTTGTCTTCCTCATAATATTTGGTATTAAGTTGATTTGATTAAAATTTTATGTTTCCAATAAAAAAAACAACAAATACATGAGGAAGAGGCCTTTGTAGGCTATGCTTTTAATTTATGCATTTCCATATAACATGACTTGTTCTAACCACTGCTTAAATATGCCAAGATATAGGTTATTTATTGAATTATTAGTAGTGATTAACAAGCACTTTGCCTTATATGTCCTTTTTGGTAATTTAATTTTTGTTTTGCAAAATAACTTAGCGACTGAGGTGAACAAGTGAGGGATGGATAGAGAGGAATAGAAGGCATAAATCGTAACATACCATATTTTGGGATATATGCTCTTTAGGTAAATCACATAATAAGTAAAAACAAAAATCCCATATGGATCAAATAAGTATGACAAAAGGAGAGTCAATGTTATAAAAGAGAAGGGATGGCGTGGGATACAAACCACGCAACCATACTTAAATGGTTCATCCAAATTGCTTGAACTAGTTGAATATGGAGACTAATTTTGGTCAATCAACTAAATACCAAATATTATTAGAGAGTTTATCTTCCTCATAATATTTGGTATTGAGTTGACTTGATTAAAATTTTATGTTTCCAATAAAAAAAACAACAAATACATGAGGAAGAGGCCTTTGTAGGCTATGCTTTTAATTTATGCATTTCCATATAACATGACTTGTTCTAACCACTGCTTAAATATGCCATGGTATAGGTTATTTATTGAATTATTAGTAGTGATTAACAAGCACTTTGCCTTATATGTCCTTTTTGGTAATTTAATTTTTGTTTTGCAAAATAAATTAGCAACCAAGGTGAATAGGTGAGGGGTGGATAGAGAGGAATAGAAGGCATAAATCGTAACATACCATATTTTGAGATATATGCTCTTTAGGTAAATCACATAATAAGTAAAAACAAAAGCCCCATATCGATCAAATAAGTATGACAAAAAGAGAGTTAAGGTTATAAAAGAAAAGGGATGGCATGAGATACAAACCACAGCCATACTTAAATGGTTCATCTAGATTGGTTGAACTAGTTGAATATAGAGACTAATTTTGGTCAATCAACTTAATACCAAATATTATTAGAGGCTTTTGTCTTCCCTATAATATTTGGTAGTGAGTTGATCTGATTAAAATTTTATGTTTACAATAAAAAAAACCAATAAATATATGAGGAAGAGGCCTTTGTAGGCTATGCTTTTAATTTATGCATTTGCATGTAGCATGACTTGTTCTAAGTTCTAACTACTGCTTAAATATGCCAAGGCAAAGGTCATTTGTTGGATTATTAGTGGTGATTAACAAGTATTGTGCCTTATATGTCCTTTTTTGTAATTTGATTGTTGTTTTGCAAAATAAACTAGTGTCGGAGGTGGAGAGGTAGGGGGGATAAAAAGGAATATAAGGTATAAATTCTAATATATCATATTGTGACATAAGATACCTGCGCTTCAAGCAAATCACATGATAAGTAAAAACAAAAATCCCATATCAATCAAATAAGTATGACAAAATGAGAGTTGAGGAAGGGATGGCATGGGATACAAATCTCACAACCATTCTTAAATGGTTCACCCAAATTAGTTGAACTAGTTGAATATGGAGACTAATTTTGATCAATCAACTGGATATCAAATATTATTAGAGGCTTTTGTCTTCCTTATAATATTTGGTATCAAGTTGGTTTGATTAAAATTTTATGTTTCCAATAAAAAAAACAACAAATACATGAGGAAAAAGCTTGTGTAGGCTATACTTTTAATTAGTTAATAGAAATAAATCTAGAGATGTTTAGAGTGAATATTTTTATCATGTTATAATATACATTTTAATTTTAATGTTTGAACAGTAAATACATTATTTAGTTTATAACTAAATGGAATTAATATTTTAGGATACGAAATTAATATTTATTTTTTAAAAAATTTCATCATTGCTCAAATAAAAAGGCAAAGCTAATAAAAATTGTCAATGTGAGTGGTAGCTGTTGCATGTTGCATCCGTCACGCCATGTGAACTGACGTTAGTGCCACCAATTGCCTTTTTTTTTTTTTTTAACTACTTTGACCTCCGTTATTCTGATGTCTTCAAATCTAGTACTTTCATCCTTACGCAAGCCTCTAGTTGTGAATTGCATTGCACTTAGTTCTTAATTATCATTGAATTGCTGCTAATTGATTGCTTAAATATGCCAACGGATATGTCATCTACTTGATCAGTGAATTAACAAGAAATGTGCTATGTATGGCGTCTTATGCAATTTATTTGTTGTGTCTTGTGAAAATAAATTGGCAGCAAGGATGCTAGCCTATAGAGAGGGACAGAAGACGTAAATCATAATATAACATACTTTGATATAAGAGATTTGCACTGTACAAGTAAATCGTATGATGAGTAAAAGAAAAAGTCTCGTATTGATCAAATAAAAAGGAGAAGGGGAGAGTCGAGGTTAAAAAGATGAAATAAATTAAGAAAACTAGTTAAATTAATTATTTGTAATAAATAGATATTATTTTTCTTAAAATATCTTTATTCATCAAATGTATTGGTTAGAACTATCATTATTGTAAAGACTATCTTAGAAATAAATAAATAAATATGAGAGATAAAGTGGATTATGGTCTTATATTTAGGATCAAAATAAAAGTCAAATAAAGCTTTATATTAAAGAACGGAGGTAGTATTATTAGATGCATTTGTCTTCTCTATGATATTGGGTATGAGGTTGATTTGATTAAAATTCTCGTCTCCAACAAAGAAAACAACAAACAAAACAAAGAAAACAATAAATATAAGAGGAAGAGGGATTTTCAGATTATGCTAAATGATTATTTTTACCATGTCATGCTTATTGTCGATTTATTTTATTTTCATTTTAATGTTTGAACCACATATTAATCATTCGTTATTTAGTCTATAATAAATATTTTTTATTTACAGAGTTTATCAAATCTCATATACAAGATATTTGTTAGTAGCCACAGGGTCTATATATTACATAATGATACTCTATATTTGTGAAAAAAAATTATGATATTTTTAAAAAACATAAGATTGTGAGTTGAAATTTTATATAATATATGTGGGAGTTTTATATTTAAAAAATATATGTGCGAGTTAAAAAAATATTGACATTAAAAATTTCCAAAACCCATATCTCTTGGCTCACAATTTTCTAATTTTCTAATTTATATTTAATAGAGAGATTAGACGGTGACCAAACTGTAACCTTGCTTTCCACGATGTTACGAACTGGCTTCAGAAATCTTTCTTTCCGGGCGCGCGATCTCCTATTGCATAACCATGTGCTTCCTTTCTTCTCTTCCTCTGCTTACTCTGCTCACTCCGTCGTACCCAGATTTTTCTCTTCCAGAAGCAACTTGTCAAATGAAGTTGCGTCCCCCCAAGCCCACAACAGAGATGATCACTCTCAAGCTGAGGATGTTATCAGCAACGAAGGTAACGAGTCAAATTCAATCTCTAAACTTTAAAACTTGTCTTTGTTTTACTCTCATTCATTTTGAGCAACTCCTCAATTTTAGGCTTCTAATTCGTCCGGTGTGTCCCTGTTTGGGTGCGCTTAAGATGTTTGATGAAATGCGTCTGCTAATGTTTATTGATTTCTGTAATAATCTGAATGTTTCATTATAGATATTTTGGTTTTCATACAATTTGTTTTCTTCCCTTCTTACGGTTTCAGAGTTGAAGAAGCGCATATCGAAGCTCGGGGAGGGTGATGACGGAGCTATACCAGAGATCTTTGAGGGGATATTGTCGAGAATATTAGCAGGGAAGCCTGAAGAAGCTCACGATGATTTGAGAAAAGAACTTTTGGGGGAGAGAACAGAGTCAGATGGAGAGGAAACAGAGTCAGCTGATGACAGTGAAGATTTAGAGTTTGATCTTGATGAGGAGGACATGAGTGAGTCCGATAAAGAATAGGCTCACAGCAGTTTGTAACCACGTGAACTAGATCATGAATTTAATAGAGAGGGCATATGAATGTATTTGGTGCTAAGTTCACAGGCCTTACCATTTTATTATACACTCTTTAAGCACTTATGTGATCATTGGTCAATAGCTATGAAGAAATTACATATTCGAACATGATTTTTATGCATCAATTGTTAGTTAATACTAAGAATTTTCTTCCTTCAATTCTATCTCTTGTGGCAGAGGCCGTTGTATGTGTAGGATGGACGGAATGATCTACTTATGAGCTAATTGGAGATGGGTCAGCATGAACTTGCGATCAGCAAAAGAAAATGAGAGCAAGTATACGGGCGAAAGGCATGAATTTGCCAACGGGAAATTTCTGAAAATGTGTCATTCGGGTATCAATGCCTGAGTATGACCCTGCATTCCAAAGAAAATATGGTCATATATATCATCTTAAAGCCATTTCTTTCATACAAGGTTGATCATGTGATAAATTTTATATTATTGCAAACTTAATGAAATTAACTTAGAATTATGGTGTAGTTATGCGTAATTGAGCTACATAATTGTTTGACTTGTTTTCATAATGGAGGGTGAAGGATCGATCAATGGGAAAATTGGCGAAAAATCTTTCATCGCAAAATTTATTAAGGCATGTAGAATTCATTTGAGGATCCAGGTGCAACATATATTTAGTGGTTATAGTTCTTTTTCAGTTATATGCAATCTATCATAAATCATGTGCAAAACAGAAGACATTTATATATAGTTGAAGATATGTGATAGGGTTGAGAAGAGTTGCTTTCCACTTATTGTGAATTGCATCCTAGTTCTTATCTTCAAATTTACCACTAATTAAACAAACATTTTATCCTGATGTGTTCCTATGTAGCATGAATTGTGTTAAAAGTTGTGTTTTGCTATGGAAGTGAGGGTGAATGGAGAGAAATTAAAAGCATAGATTCTAATATTATACTCTGATATAGAATATTTGTTCTTTTAACAAATCAGAGAAATCACACCATAAGTAAAATCTGAAGTCCCATATCGATCAAATAAGTATAAAAAGAGAAAAATGGATGTTATAAAAGAGCAAGGATGACGTGAGATACAAATCACACAACTATGTTTAATGATTCACCCAAATTGGTTGAACTAGCTATGGAGACTGATTTTGGTCAGTTAATGGAATTCCAAGTATGATTGGAGGCTTTGTCTTCCTAATAATATTTGGTATTCCATTGTTCTGATTAAAATTTTGTTTCCACTTAAGAAAAATAATAAATATATGAGAAATAGAGGGCGTGAGTGTTTTGAATGTTACATTTTGAAATTTGAGGAACATGGAAGGGGAAAGTGTGTGAGGAGTCAATATTTAAGAAAATGGGCTTGAATGATCTTGATCTTAGATTAATATTGATTTGGTTATTAATTAAATATAATAATTTGCAAAATAGGGAACATATTAGAAAATATATTCTAACTTTTCCTTATAATTGCAATAAAAATCTTTTAAAAAGGAATGTTATATCTCTTAAAATTGGGTTTTATATTTAAAACTAGAAAGTATTATAATATTTGAATATTATTCTAGTAAGAAGATTTTATTATCTTAAGTTATGCATAGGATATGCTTTAAATTGGATGATGATCCTAAATCATAACCATGACTTTTTATGGTCATTAAATTCATAACAAAAATTATTTTTGAGAAATTTTTCAGCACGTAAAAATGTAAAATACAATCTAACAGTTTTAAAATAATTGCACCATCTTTTTATATAGTTTGAAAGATAACAAAATAGGAAAAAAGACAGGAAAAAAGTCTAAAAATTATTAAAATTTAAATAAGATTTGTTTCTTACACCTTAGTAGATTTTGATTAGATTTGACTTGAAAATAATAACATATTTTTGCAGAAATTCTTCATTAAGGATTATACAATTCTCAGGTTCTCGTCATTATTCCAAGAAAATATATTCATTTTTATTTAAAAATGGCATAAAATTTATAAAACTATTTAAAAATTTTAGGTACTGCATCTAAATATTTTTTAGGGAAAAAAAAAAGAACAGCATGACCATCTAAACATTTGTGTCTTTTTTGGCATAAACATTTGTATCTTAGATGCCCGATAAATGTAGAAATTTTCACAAATAAATATGATGATACTTCCAATTTTAAATTAAAATTGCTTAAGATACTATGAATGAATAATTACGCTGGTATGAAATTCTATTATAGTATTGTTTTGGAGAAACAGTGGTGGCTTACTTGTCACTGCGAAGTAGAAAGAAGCGAGAAACCCCATGGCTGCAAGATCGGGACGCTGAATTCTGAGTCGGATCAAAGCTTAAACCCTAGAGAGCCATGAAGCGGACTCTGCTCAGCAATGTCTCTCTCTACACTCGCAGTCTTCTCCAGTCTCCTTCCTCACACTCCCCATACCCTAATTCCTCAATCGCCTCGCTCGCCACTTCCACTCGCTCCCGCCTCCGGTTCTTCTCCTCCGGCGGCGACGACTCCAATGAAAACCCCAACCCTTCTACTGAAACGAGCGTGGCGCCTCCCGTGAAAAAGGATGTCCTTGCCGGCGTCCAGGATGTGGCTAACAAAGGTAACTACAAAGATGTCTGTTGGCTGTTGTGAATGTAGTTTATCTCGCTTTTACGAGTTTGCTCTAAACGAATCTGAAGCAGGCTGAAATTGATTGGAGTTGCACTGGAAATGCTTTATGTTTTAATTATCACTCCTTTTCCTTTTTGCAACTAACGAGTTTTTCAATATACGCCATTTAAGATAAATGGTATAATAGATAGAAAATATGTTGACGCGGTTTACCCACTTGATTTGATTTATATTAGTGTAGCTGAATTTGTTGATGAGCTTTGTGCCTGTGGACTTGCGTTATATGTGCGTTCCAATGTTTAATCTTGGACTTCATACATTTGACGTGTTGTGATTTCATTTTATGCCCCGCAAAATATTTAAGGATACTTTGGTTTTTAGATCTTAAAACACAGATAGAGAAGTACTTTGGGGGCGATGAAGAAGCACTTCCAACGATTTTTGAATCAATTTTGCGGAGAAAATTAGTGGAGAAGCATGAGGAGACAGATGACGAGTTGCTGGATGAATTCCAGAGGCAGCCAATTGATGATGTTAATGACCAGGAGTTTGAAGAAGATTTTGAGGAGATTCACGAGACCGATGATGAGATTGATGATTTATATAATGCAAGGGACGTTGTTATGAAGAGGATGGCAAAAGACGAATACTTCAACATGGACGAGAAGAAGTGGGCTGAGCTTGTTGAGGATGGGGTTAAACACGGAGCGCTTATGGACACAAAAGAGTGCGAGCAGATTCTGGAAGATATGCTTAGCTGGGACAAACTCCTTCCAGGTAAAACGTTGTTCTTTAACTGGGCCCTTTGCTTTTGTTTATGGTTTCTTTTAGTATAAAATTCTTGGTTCATCCCCCCCCCCCCTCCATTAGTAATATTGGATGGCGCCAAACGTGATGCTTGAATGGGGATTCTGAGATTCTCTTTAGAAGATTTCTTTATCTATGTCTAAGACTTGAAGCACTTCAAAAAATTGCAATTGACTGATTGATTGTGCGTCTAGACATATCACCTCACTTCCAAGAGGCTAGCCTTGAGCAAAACCTTGAGAGTTTAGGCATAACTTTGTTTCAGTGTCATCTATGCAATTTCATGTCTACGCCCTAGCAAGCGCAAATATATATATTTATATTGTTTTATCATATCGTAGTTCATGATTATGAAAATGATGAGTGATGATCAGGAAAGTTACTATCTTGACCTGGCTTCCAGTTTTAATCATCTGGTAAACTATATAATATTTGAAAACTTGGCATGTTTCTTTCTATTTGATATTCTTTGGCTTGTATTGTCCGCATTGGTAATGATAAAAGTTGTTTGTGAGTCTGAGGGAGTGTTTGGTGTAACAAGTATCTTCCTGAACGGGATTTGTTTTCACTCCATTAATTGGTTGGTGCTTGGTATTTTTGGCTATACAGATCATATTACAGTGGAGCAGGGGGTTAAGAGTTTGATCTTGATTGAATTTAATCTATGTGCACGCCTTAAATTTTAGCATGGCATGCTTCTGACATTCTCTGCATGTTTTGATAAGCAATTAGCGAGCAATTTCAACTTTGTTTATTTGAGCTACATCTGATAATCTACTGATTTTTGTATTGGGTGAAATGTCTTTTCTAGATGAAATAAAAAAGAAGGTGGAAGAAAAATTCAATGCACTAGGGGATATGTGTGAAAGAGGGGAGCTTGAACCTGAGGAAGCTTATGAACAATTTAAGCAGTTTGAGGACGAAATGGTCGCAGAATACATGAAGATGATGGAAGCGGAGGAGCTTCCACAGTTTGACAAAACTGATTTACTTGACAAGAAAAAGGACTTAGATGACCCACCTGGTGAAGGTCCAATTCTCCGATGGCAAACTCGGGTAGTCTTTGCACCTGGCGGTGATGCTTGGCATCCAAAAAACAGAAAAGTCAAATTGTCTGTTACAGTAAAGGAGCTTGGGCTTTCAAAATACCAATTTCGTCGACTGAGGGAATTAGTTGGAAAACGTTACCATCCCGGGAAAGACGAACTTACCATAACTAGTGAGAGGTGATGTTCTATCTGTGTAATAATTTATTGATTTGCTATCCACTTCTGTAACCCTTTGGTTCTTGGCCCATTGCTGATAACATGAAAGCAACTACAATTATGTCTAAAATCTTGCTTCCCCCTATTTTGAAGGTTCGAACATCGGGAAGAAAACAGGAAAGACTGCTTAAGGACACTTCTTTCCCTTATTGAGGAGGCTGGGAAAGCTAACAAATTGGCAGATGACGCTCGGGCTTCATATGTGAAGCAGAGACTCAGGGCTAATCCGGGATTTATGGAGAGGCTGCATGCCAAGACCATGAGATTGCGAGAATCTAACCAAATTCCTGCTTGAAACATTCAGGCTTGGCATTTGAATTTGTGGACGTTCACCTGTATCAATCTGATGATATTGGTGCCGGATTCAAGTTTGGTTCTGTTTTTGGTAGTGGGATTCCTCCTTTTTTTCACAAGGTGGGGCTTCCTCAAATCAATATTAATTTTTCACAGACATTGTAGGAGAATTGACTCTTACAGATTAGATATCCTTTAAAGTGTATTTTAAAATTTCTCCAATAA